CTCTCTCTCTCTCTCTCTCTCTCTCTCTCTCTCTCTCTTTCTCTCTCCCTTTGACTGGATAGGCAATCATCTCTCAGTGTCGATTCCGATTTTTTTCTCGTCTATTAGTTGGTGATTATTTCGTTAATTCGGAAAGAATTTTCAATTTTTTAGAATTACTAGCTTTCATCGCTATTGCTAATATATTTACGGTTCAATAGTATCGTTTTCCTTCTTTCTAATCGCGTTATTTATCTTTAAATGAATAAGGTTGCTGAAGAAATTCTACTTTCTCCAGCGCCAATGAGATTAACACTTTTCCTTGAAAATATTCAAATTTACGCGGTATTTTCAATAACTAATCGAAAGAGCGCATTTTCAATAAATGGATCATGCGCGTTTTGTTCGAAGAAAGCATAGACTTTCATGTATATTTTAGTTGATAGACTTCCATGAAACGGTCATGAACGGTGTTGTCATTCCTCGAGAAAATTCATCGGGAAATATTTCAAACTGGCAACAACAATCGTTGACGGTAACGGCCAACTGAACAAGCTTGGTGCACATAGAGGGGTTCGATAAATCGAAAGTTAACAGCGACTTGGACATATGACGACTGAAAGGTCGAGCGTTGCGCACATTTAACATCAGATAGCTATGGAAAGGATCATTTCAACAGTGTTTCTATTTTGAAGAATGTAAAATAACAGTTGAATAGTTCAAAGTCATCGATAGTCATGCAATTCAATGTCAAAAGAACGATATTATATTCTCAAACTTGTATTTATTAAGGAGATTAACGATGGATGACGATGTGAATACGATATCATGCCTTAAATAAGACATTGTAATTATTTTTTAAATAATGAATCTTTTTACAATAAAATTATATTTGTTATTGTATCATATGGTATCGATACTCACAATATATATAGTTATATGTATATAGGATGATTTAAAATTTAATTCTTACGATTTTTGAAATCTGGTAGTTTGACAAAAAAATGTTTTGCATTAATAAATATTAATCAGTTTTCAATGATTTACAAATTGCATCATTAAAAATTAAAAGAAAAAAAGGAATTTGGAAAAAGGAATTTGAATTTTTATTTTAATGAAAAGTCAAGATTATCTTTTTTAAATAGTTATTCTGGTCATTATGTGATTATTTAGGTGATTTCAAAACTTTAAAAAAGACAAATTCAAAGATTTATCTACGCTTTTGAATCCAGAAATTAAATAACGACTCTTCTTGTAATTAAAACTTTTTTTATTTCTTTCATTTCTTTGAAGAAAATGAAATTTTTTTTAATGGAAATAAAAATAAAAATACGAAAACATATTATTTTATTTTTATTTGACATGTTATTCAATTTGTATTGCACTGTCCTGAATATATATATATATATATATATATATATATGTAAAAACTATTATTATTAATTATATTCTAAAATTATAATTTATCCATGTTTTTAAAATATTTTTAAATTTTTTTGTTCTATTTGACTTATTATTCTTGTGTTAAATATAATTTATTTATTCATCATTTATATTAAATATCTTTACACTTATTATTTAACGGATTCTTTTTATTTATCGAATCGAAGTTGAAATTGAAGTCATATTAAGAAATGTAATATATAATATTATATAATATTACATATTTCATCACGTTCCCTTGAAACGGAATCTTTGTATTATATATCCAACTGCTTATTTCAATGGAAAAAACCGACAAACATTGGAATAACATTCTCACGATTCTTTCGTTTCGATATGATAATCCTTCGTTTCGACGAGGAATCGTGAATGATGCGACAAGTTGATTTTCAAATCGAGTCGATTTCGGGGAAATTTGAGAGATATTCTAGGAAAAGCAGACACAGCGATATTTCGGTATCGCAAAAGACATAAAAGCATCCTGACGCGGCTCGTAATAACGATGTCTGCACGGTGTTGTATCAGCGGTACACGGAGCAGCTTACGTGGCAACAACGCAACGTCATCCTGTAACTCGGCGATTTTTGTTATTTGTATTTTATAATTATCCGCGGTCCCGATCGTCGTCGTATTATCGTATTTGCGCCGTTGAACCGAGGGCGAAACGACGAATAGGAAACACCGGTTTCTAAATAGAATTTTGGTGCGAAATAAGATATTTACCGTGGTAGCTGGAGCATCGTTCTTGAACGTCTCGAGAAAGATAGGTTCGAGAGACTTTGTAGCCGGCATTTACTAACTTTTCAACGTAAATTCGACGGCTACAAAAGATCAAAGCCCTTCTGTCTTGGCTCGTTCGCTCGCACCCTTCCGTCCTTTATACTTGGGCTACTCCTACGTAGCGTTCGTCAAGCGGAGGCTCTTCTTCTCTTACTCCCTCTTTTTTCGTTCTTCGCTTTATCCGCTCGTGCCAGAAGCTACATTATTCATGCCAAACGAACACGTCGGTGAACATAGCTCGTTTCAACCCCCCGTCCGGACAATTTTTATACTTATATTTTTTTTATTCCTTTCCCCCCCTCCACCTTTCTTTCTTCTAATTTTTTTCTCTATCCTTTTTCTTTTCTTTTTAATATTTTCCACTCGAATATTCAGATCAAAGTCCGCGTCGAAGACGGGACTTAATGTTACATTGGGAGGAATTTTTTTCTCACGATTCGAAATTGGCATCTTGCCAATATATAAATATATAATATTGTCATTTATTAGATAGAATTTTTAATTCATTTTATACAAGAATATCGAGAAAATAATATAAAATGTTAAGACACATATAAATAGAATAATTATTAATCTTAAAACTATTGAAGCTATTAAATTATTAATGATTCCTATTCAATTATCAAAACTATATTTAAAGATAAGCAAATGTTTAGAAAAAAATCAATCAGAGTTTACAAAAAATTTAATACAAACTTTAATACGAGTAATTGATTCTATAATGGATATATAAATTCCGAAACATAAAAACAAGATCTTAATCTTAGCATAATATTGATGCATAATATATGTTGATGTGATCAAATCAAATATCCAAAAACAATTACAATTCTTGACAAAAAATATTCGATCATCTTTTGAAATATAAATTTTTACATTTTTCGATTTCAATTATTTTTTGTATTAATCGATTTCCATGAAATTTTCAGCATATGATATATTGACATAAATCTTGTCATGATCTAAATCGATATAAATCTAAACAAAATATATTGTTTAACTTTTCATTTTAAGTTTAGATAAAAAAATTGTAAAATTCTAACTATTGCAATTATTGCAATTTTTCTAATTTTAAAATAGGTAGATTTTCGACTTTAATATTAGGGTGTCATAAATTTCTTTCGCATCATACTAGAAATGATTTTAACTGGTTATTTTTATATGAATATGCAGGCTTATCTATTAGCCGTTTATAGTATCGGTTTCAATCATCTCAGAGCTTTTTTAAAGTACGTTTCATTGGAGACACAAACTCTCTTTTAAAACTTTTTTCTATATAAATAGCCAAAAGAAACATTTGCGGCATGTTATGCTTTATTGCTTTAAAAAAGATGATAGTGCAAATGATATTGCAGACGAGATTTGTACTGTTTTGTACGGTGGTATTACTACGACTATTATGACCATCCGCAATTGGTTTATGAGTTTCAAAGTTGGAAATTTTGACTTGAAAGATGAAGGCCGCAGTGGCCGTCCAGCAGCAACGAATATAGATCTTATCAAGGCCATGCTCGCTGAAAATCCGCGATATAATGTGTGTGAGATAGTAAATGCCACTAACATTCTCAAAACAACGGTACATAATCACCTGATCAGAATGGGATATATCAATCGATATAAAGTTCCACAGCTATTATCGAGATCGACTTTATGAATCGCGTCTCTACGTGCGATTTCCTTTTCCAGTGACGTGAAAGAGATCCTTTTTTAAAGAGGTTTGTCACTGGAGACGAGACTTGGATTTTGTATCAAAATGTGTTTTGTATCGAAAATGCATTTGATTTAAGGATAATAGAACTTTAATTGTCACGACTTCACGCGATGAAAGTTCTTTTGTCTATTTGAGATTGGAAAGGTGTACTCTATTATGAGGTCTATTTTTTTCAAAGTGAAATCATCAATTTTGCAAAATATTGCAATCAGCTTGATAAATTGAAAGACGTATATAATACAGATAGAAGAAAATTGGCGAACCGACGAGGCCATCACGACAATGTAAAACTGCATGTTGCATTGATTGAAATAAAAAAGCTGTTACAGTTTGATTGGAACGTTCTACCGCATTTTCTGTAATCCCCAGATCTTGCTCTATCTGACTATAACTTGTTCCTGTTATTAAAAAATTCTCTCCATGATAAATGGTTCCAATCTGTAAACGAAATAAAAACGCACTTCGAGAAATATTTTGCAAATAAACTCCAACAATTTTGGAAAAAGGGAACAATAAGGCTTCTTGAGAGATGGAAGAAGATAATAGAGTAGAACGGTTCATATATAATGCAATAAATTAATCTTAAACAACACATATCCTATATTCATTTCGTATTAAAAAAAAGAAAGAAAGTTATGGGACACCCTAATATATCGAATATTTTTTGCTAGAGGGATATTAGATGTAGAATTCAATTTGATGCAACACACGTACGAGAAAAGAATAATAATATATTTTGATTTGTTTCAATGCTCAAATTATCAATGCAAACTATTAACATTCATTGATTCGTGAAAATAATAAAGTTGAGAGTAAAAAAATAGTTTATTAATTGTGGCAAGTCTTTTAGATATACTTTACAAAAAAGACAAAAAATATTACTCTAATCCAATTTTATTTAATTTATACTTATATTTATTTATATATAATTTATTATTTATATTATTATATTTATTTATATATTATGTTTCAATATCAATTTAACAAATATATATTATATAAATATATATAAATATGAAAGCGATGTAAAACAGCATCAATGATTCCATTAAACCAAAATCATCTTCTTGTCGAATTTGAAAATTAATTTAATTTTTAGGGTTAAATTCTTAAATCTCATAAATTAAAATCTTAAAAATAATAGCGAGTATTTCAAATGGATAGTATAATCAAAAAGTTCATACGTTTGTTTAATTTGTGAAAGAAATATTATCAATTATAAAAATTTTTTTCTGATATTGATATATTTGATATCTGCCAATGTTCAACTATATCAGATTTTAGTTAGTTTCAATTCAATCGAGTATTTGACTTTTATTTCTTTTATAGTTCGAAAAATAAAAAAATTATAGTAGACAAATATGATACCTGTGATACGAAAATCATAGTGCTTTATGTTCAATAAATTCATCGAGTACGCTAAAACACAAATTAATTATGAAATCATACTTATGAAACCAATAATACGATTGAAAATTACATAGGTGTCATAAAAAAATTTTCTAATTGAATGTTTTTTTTTTTAAAGAAATAAAACAATTGCTGAAACTTTTTGATCGTTCCATATAAAAATTAGATAATTATTTACAAAAAAATATTATTCTCCTTAGTAATTCTTTAATATGTTATTAAACATTATCAATATGAAGATAATAATATCGTGAAAATTTTATTTGGCAATCATTATTCAAATTTATTAACAAAAACGTTTTTTCGAAAGGTTTGTTTAGATTAATATTAATCATATTTTTGCACAGACATTGATGCCTCAAATTGATCAAATTCAATACAAATCATAAGTCGGTTAACAATTATAAATAATAATATACAATTTTTATTTAATTTTGATTTGAGATGAAATTAGAAAGGATAGGATAAATTAATTAATGTCAAATATTTATATTAATTTCTGATTTTATGATTTATATTGACTTTGAATTACAGGTTACATTAAACTTACATAAACTTTTTACTAAACCATAATCTAAGCTAATCTAACTTAACTTAAACTGTTTTCGTTAATAACTTCATTAAATAATAAACGATTTCCAGATGAAAATTTCACGACATATTAAAAAATCATCGAGATCGTAAAATAATAATATTTTTGTAAATATTTATCAAAATATTTATCAAAAATTACACAGTTTTTATTGTAAATAAATGGTGGTAAATTTATTTTAAAAAAGATAAATTTAATTTAATAGATTTAATAAATTGAAAAAGTAATAAATCGCATACAATATTTTAATCAACAATTTTCCCCTTGCAATGATTTCGAGTCTTTATTTCGATATTCTTGAGTATTATAAAACAAAAATAATTGTCAAACGTCAACATTGATAAATATAATTTATATGCACACAATCGAACAACTCTGTATCTTGAATTCTCTTGATCATCTCTTGATTTCACGAATAAATTTCATTGGAATATCATGAAAGCGTATTCCAATGAAGAGCATCGATCACGACATTTATAGCTTGTGGTATAAGTCCTTGCGAAGTAATTTTCCATAGTGATGGCAATTGGAAGTTTTGGTAGTCCATTCGTGCATGACTTGGGCCAACAACTATCGGTTCTCGTAACTTTTATTCCGCGGTATACGAGGCAATCCTGAAACCTTCGGTTCCGCCAAACTTTCCACGAATTGAACGACCATTCAGTTACAACGATCCCCCGTTAAAGCAACCGCGAAATATCATCGAGTAAATCGATAACACCGTCTCGGTAATAGGTTTTCGACTCGAGATCATTTTCCCGCTTACAAGCGGGAATCTACGTTTCGAGCAATTCTCGAACGAATTATATACGGCCGAGACGCGCGCCAAGTACCTCAGGATCCTGTAGAGAAGTCCAAGTTTATTCAGAATCCAGAACTCGCCAAGCACTCGTGATTCACTCGTATTTTTCGATAAAAAAATTTTGTATTGGATTTAATTCGAGATAAATAGATATGCGCGAAACAAAATCTGCAATCTCGAGTAGAGATTCTATTCAATGTTTAAAAGAAATGAAAAAGTATTGAAGAAGAAAAAAATATGGTCGATGATGGAACGTAATCGAGGGGATCAAAGATTTCCCTCGTAGAAAAAGGGAATCGCATCGATGAAGAGGAAAGTTAAGGAGAAATAAAAGCAGCAAAAGGAAAGAGAAAGCGTCGAAGATGGATCGAAAGAAGTCTTGGAACGGTATTCCTCCGTTTGTTTTTCTAGTCATGGGACTAAAGAAGAAGAGTCCTTTGTTTTGACAAAAATACCGGTGAACAACGCTCGTGTGTCGAAATCCTTGAGCTAGCGGAGATGTTTTCTTTATGAACGCGACGCGAGCACGATGACAGCGGAGACATCTTCGATACGAAGGTGTCGGGGAAAGAAACTTTCTTTCTCTCGTTCGAAATCGTTCTTCGGCGATAATTTGCGCGATATTCAACGCGAGGCGAGGATATTTCGAATCCATCGAGGTCCCAACTTTTCGCCACGGTTTTTCTCTTCGGTGGATAGCACAGATTTATCTCTTGCGCTTGATGAGTCCTTTCAAACGAAATGAAAGAGATTAAGCAAAACGGAGCTCGGAATGAAAAGGGCAGAGTAGATATGTACGCGCGTACGCATCACCCTTCCGCTCTGATTCGTGCATTCGAGCGCACTATTCGAGTTCTGTTCCTGTCCCTAAAAAAAAAAAAAAAAAGAAAGAAAGAAAGAAAAAAGAACTTCCTGATTAGAAAGCATCTTTCGTCCTAAATCGGTACGATTGAAACGATCAGGGAAAGGATTGGAAACCACTTGCGGATTAAATCCCGTTAACCGACAGCTCGTTGCCGCTTTTTACCGTGAAAGAAAAAGCTAATTAAAATCTTTTCCAGAGATTTCTCCAGGAATAGTCTTTTTTTTCTTTTTTCTTTTTTTTTTTTTTTTTTTTTTTTTTTTTTTTTTTTTTTTTTTTTTTTTTTTTACCAACCTATCAATCGCATTGATTTCGCACAGTTTTGGAAACAAGCGTCAAGCTCCGTTGCTTTCAATCATTAACTTCGTTTCATCCACCTATCCGATTTCAATTAAGCTAATGATTTCCCGCAGATATATCATCTTCGTCGGTCGCTTTTTGGCTCGGATATTCCCCGTGCATTTGCCGGATTGGATTTACCTAAACTTTCCTTTTTTTTTTTTTTTTTTTTTTTTTTTACGTTTCTATCCTTCGCATCGAGAATCCACACGTCTATTCGATGTACGTAAATTATCAATTTGTCGCGCTTGTTCGCGCGCTCGAAATCGTTGCGATGACGTAAACAAGAAATTAACAGTTGCTTTGATTTCTTGAAATATATTTTATACGCACAAATATATGTATATACGTTATAATATATATATTTCATATATACAATTATGCGCAATTGAATCCGAAACTTTTACGAAATTTTCGCATCGCACGCACTCTTCGCGATCGATTTTCGTTTGCGAAAAAAAGTTCCTCTTCGAAACCTTTATCATAGATATCCGTTTTCCTTACTTCCCTGACGGTGGATTATGATGCATCGATAAACTTTGATAAACCTGTGATGCATCCCATAATTTGTCCCAGCGTTACCTTTCGATGACCGATTTCGTCAAAGTTCTTTAATAAAACGAGTTATATTGATAAACGAGTTAGTTTAATATTTGATATAGAGATTTGATATAGAGATTTAATTTAAATTGGGACAGTATAATATAACAAGGGACGAATGTAACGGGTTAAATATTTTAAAACGTATAATAAATATAAATATGTATTTTAAATGTATTATAAAAAATGATATTTAGAAACGTGCATATCAGAAAATATATATGTACGATGAACAAAATAACTTTTCGATATCTTTTTTTTACTGATTTATAAAATATGATTTATAAAATAATATAAATATTTTTTCTATTTTTTTTTTTTAATCTTTATGCATCTCTTACTTAAAATTTATAATTTAGATTCAAAAATATAATCAATGATTATATTATCAATCATATTACCATCAAAATTTATTATAATATTATAATTATATTAACTTAGAGAAAATTCAATAAAGAATATTTTTGCTTCTTTTTCCTGTTATGTCAATTGAAAAATTGATGCAATGCATTAAGCGCAAATTTAAATACATGAAAAATGCATCGAGAAATGATTTATATGTTTATCATAATATAAAATAATTCTTAATTATTATTAAAAAATCTTGTAATTTTTAATTATTAACTTATTATTATATTAACTTATTTAATTAGTTTTTATAGATAAATATAATTTTTGTTTGATTTCATTTATTATTATAATTTGCTTCAATAAACAATTTAAATTTTTATCATCATTTAAATTATTTTATAATTGACCCATATATATTTATATGAAACGATTATAACATTTTCTCCTCTTCTCACTTTTGATCAATAACCTGTTGATAATTCAATAATAATATAAAACAAATAAGTTATATTTTCGTATAAAAATTTTTGTTGTTGGCACAATAGTTCTTGTGTAATCACATTCAAAGTATTACTACCGGTCTCTACTCCACATCATAAAACTGTATTCACAGAACTCGGCAATTATCTAACCGCGTTTCGACTTTGTAATTCGCGAGGAAGAAAAATAGTGGAAAGAGGGAAGGAAAGAAAAGAAAAGAAACGGCAAAGCATAGCGGCGAAAAAACGTCGACCAGGACGTGAACAATGCGGAATAGCGAACAGCTCGACTTCTATCTGCGCGGCGGAATAGACAAAAGACCAGAAAGAATTAATAGCGGCGCAGCAACGAGTTCGGACGATTTCAAAGCGAGGGGAAACGAAAGCTCACGGTGGTTGAAAACTAGGCGCGTTCCCAGCTTTAACTCAACCTTTCCCTCTCCCCCCTTCTGCCAATACCCCGCCTTGCTTTCGATCTATCGGTCGATATAAACTAGTTAGTAAGCCAGCTTGCCGTATTCGGGGAAAAAATCGGATAACGGATATCGGAAGATAGTGAGGGAGAGGGAAAATAAAGGATCGCGAAACGTCCCAACGAATAAAATATCGATGAGTTGAAATGAGAGACGAAAGTGGGGGAATACTATTTAAGAAAAAAATGTTTAAAAATAAACTTATATTAGCAATTTTATTAATTTTTTTCAAGTCTAGATTATCCTCTTCTTCTGATAAAATATGAAACATTACACATAAAAGGTTATTCAAAAGCAATATTAGAACAAATAAAGAGATTTGAGAATTATGGACTATATGTTTTTAATATACATATAATAGGGGGAAAATAATAGATATTTCATTATTTTTATATCAGGTTTATTTTATACGTATAGAAGCAAAGATACAAAAATAAACTTTTTAAATTAAAATATTTAAGAAATTAATGACATTTTTCGTATTGATAATATTTAGAATAATCTTGCAATGTATGTTAAAGACATGTTATTACATGTTATTAGAAATACACAATTTTTTAATTCATTTTCTTAATATTTAAAAATTATTTAGCTAATTTAAAAAGTCCTTCTCTTGGCTATATTTAATGGAAAAGCTTCAAAACATATAGCTAACTTTATAATGATATTTCCCTATTTCTTTGAACCAATATTACTCAAAAGTAATAACATTATTACTTTAAATATAATAAAATTAATTCATTATTTCTGTATTAATTCATTATATATTATTTATATACATTTAAATATATATATTGTTATATATATACAAGATAAAATTACTTTTTAAATATATTGTTAAAGTAAAAATAAATTTAAAAATAATAATTTAAAATAACATTTTGGCTTCTTAGTTATTTTAAAAATTTATAAGAAAAACGATGTTATATTCATTCATGTATTATTGCTAAAAATTTCAACAAAATTGTAAATCAAATATTAATTGATTGGATAGAAAATAAATTGATGTAAAAAATTTTATATTCATAATTTCAGAAAAGAAAATGGAGAAGATGTATAAATTATTGACATATATATATTGTATTAATTTAACATTACTGAATATAACAAATATTGTAATATATTTTTTTAAATAAATATATAAGATCTCTACAAAAAAATGATATATAATATAAATTTTTTAATAAGAATGTACTTTTATATTTGTTATAACAACATTTTATATTTTATTTAAACTTCTCAAATTATTCTATATTTCCATATTTTATCAACTATCTTTCATTTAACCATCATTATAATATTCACAATACTTTATTCAATCATTTTTTTTTTATATATTATCTTTATTATTTTATATATTATCTTTATTATATTTATTATATTATTTTATATATTATCTTTCTTATATTCGTTTTTCATTTTCAAATTCGTTGTTATTATTATTTCTTTCATAATAAATTATTTTAAAACAAAAATAGTAATCCAATTAATTCCTTCTTATGTGCTACAAAGTATCTTATTTTTAAGGACTGGATAGATTGTTTTGAACTTGAATTACAAAGTATAAATAATTTATAAATAATATCTATTTAAATTTTTTATTAGAAAAAACCAAATACAGATAATATATAGTTTTTATATTTTCATAGAGATAAAATTGTAAATTTTTATATACAATTCGAATTGAAACATT